CACCAGAGAAAACCACAGAGGCTTCACGGATGTATGCCAGAGATGATGTCAGTCGCATGTTTATGGTAATACCCTCCATGATATCACCGACATAAGAAAATGAAACCGAGGGCGCAATGTTGATCTCGAATAATGCAGCGCCCGTGGCATAAAGCCAACACATGGACCCGCTCGGGCGAAGGTCACGTCTTTTTGCACCGACTTCCTATTACATACATAAATCATTTGGCTTAATTGATGCGTGCTTACGAGATGGGGCAGCATCTATCTAGAGCCGCCACCTCTCAATTGCTTCATAGTAATATTATTGCTGCATCAATAGCATAGCGGTAGGAGCATTACAAGACACCTGGATCAGCAAGACTTCGCTACCACTTTGATGGTCTTCTCGTCGTAGTGTGCACAAGTCCAATAGAGCTGAATTAGTTATTAGAAGAAAAAAGACGATCTATGTATTATTTAAAATGACAGTCAGGAAAACAACCAGCCGAGTTTAGGTAACTTTTGCAGTTGGCAGCCAGTGATCCCCAAGGTGATACAGCGGAGGCAGCAGGAGGGATCAGAAACGAAAGCCTCAGCCGTAGCACCGCTTCCTTCGCCGTGACTTTTTTGTCTCGACGTAAAAAACGAATGCATTTGGACTGAACAAACGAAGCAGAAAATAACAGAAAATGTAGCGAACATGTTAAACTTCACGATATAATTACACAAGCACGTTCTTTGTCTTTGTGTATATTGATTGGAAGAAATGCAACAAAATGACTGCTACATGACCAGACCACTCCTGAATACTCAAGAGACAAGTGAAACGAGTCATCGTACTTACACCAAAGTATATGGTGCAAGTGCACCATATACATTCACTTCGATCGCAGGAAAAATGCCTGCAATGGGGACTAACTTTATCGCGCAAACAGTAGAATTTATGGGAGTGGGTCGCCAGTTGGCGGCCCCTATCACCGAGCGTTGTCAGCGGCGCTAATGTGCATCCCGGATGTTCGCTAAGTATGCAGCGCCATATTAGCGGCGGCGGCGGCCGGCTCAGGCCGCTATCGTGGGCCGGTGTCATTCACTCAAACATCGGCGCCGGATACCATCGGCGGCAGCGCCACAATCAGACACACCAGAGCCAATGGCAGAAGGATCGGCCGGCCGAGAACGCTAATTTCCAAACCAGCCGACTGGGGGCACAGTCAGTGCAGGAGTTTCCCAGATTTGCGGTTAATATCTGACCCATCCACATGGACTTTGGCCAGATTTAAAGCGACTTAATTACAAAGACAAGCCATCAGCGTCATTCATCCGGCTTGGACGCGGCCTAGACCGGTATTCCCTGCGCTCAGACGGCTGTTAAGATCGGTTCATGGCGCTTAGAGCCAAGAGGCTCGCCGCGCGCCTTATGAATTACCAGACGGTGTTCTCAGCGGGGCCCGAGCCGCTGCAACCCCCCCCCCCCCCCCCCAACTCCTCTCCTCAGACACCTGCGGTGACATCAGTGGCGGCTCGGCACCGACCGGTCACTCGGTCTCCCCGACTGGACACACGGACCGGCACTCCGGTACCGGGTCCCGTGGTACACCCCTTCCTCCAGAATCTTGTAGCACCGCCGGCCGTGACAGGGACAGCTGCTACCAAACAGGCTGGATCTGATGGAGCATTACCTGTGGCGTAAGCAATTCAAGGACATCAGCGCCAGCTGGCGATGCTTCCAGAAAATGATGGCATTTGGGGACCTTGGAGACGCGATCTTGAATATAGCATTTGTTTGCACCCAACATTGAACGGAGAATAATAACAGGTTTAAACAGCTTGAATGCTATAGTATAAGCGCACGGGTATTTTAGGCAACAGCCAACAATGTTCTCGACCGCGTGGCAATAGCTAATTGGAAGCAAATATTGGATGGAGATGTGTTCAATACCGATTTGTTAACTATGTTTCAAATCACAGCTAATAAACTGATGCAAGATGGTTATTATACCAAATAACGGAACCATGTGCCCAGGAACACCAGCTGAGCTCGTACAACACATGTCATCTGTTTTATCTGGTCCAACTGACATTCTGCAAGGATGTGACACATCCAGCGTATATTCCGCTCGCCATGAGTCACTCCACTCAGCCGCCGATCGCGTCGCCTCCAGCTCATCTCCTCTCGCCTCCGTCATCTCGGTCCTTTTCACCGGGCCCCTCCGTCGAACCCAGACAGCCTAAAGACCCAGTGACGCATTACGCACACGTGAACGTCCGCCGCACAGACTGTGCGTGACGTCACTGGGTCTCAGAGCGATATTGAAGGCCGTCATTAGCAGCCGAGCAGTATCCGCCCGGGTGAGAAGGACGGCGCCGACAGCCGCGCACTGCAGTGACGCATCTGCGACAGTGACGTCACAGCAGCCAGTGACGTAGCACCTCGGCCCAATACGCCGTGACGTGACGAGACAGTGACGTGACGCTAATGACACATCGCGTGCTATCCCACACCGCGGTGCCCGTTGTTTCGGCGAGAGCGCACATGATGGCAGAAACAGACGCAGCCCACGCAGCGGCCTTCGAGAAAGGCTGCACTATCTGCACGTTACAAGTGTGACGTAGGGGAGAGCGTCACGGTCACAATGGGGCCAACTGCTGAGAGGGGCTCAGATTAGCAGAGCGTAATGCTGTTGGTCCAAGGCAAACGTCAACCCATCGACATTCACGGTGGGCCCGACAGATATGACCAATAAAGGAACTGTTCTGCAGATAGCGCGAGTTCAATCACGAGCCATCTCGAAGTGGAGAGTCTTGGCCCAGTCATCAACTGATAATGTGCTTCAAAGAACAATGGCACTCTCACCGAGCTCCATTTATAGTGATGATAGCTGATAAGAATCTTTACATTAGTAACATCCCCAAACATTCGGCTATTTTAGCAATGACGCCAGTCGCGTCAGGCACGCCGATCGCACATGTTGGAATACCTACAACCGTGACGTCAGCAGACAGCAAGTCATGGGATCGGGGACGTCAGGCCAGACACGAATGCATTATGAGATTCGTACCAAGATACAAAGTTACTGCATAGTGCATACTGCATATGTCACTACAAATTCAGAAACCAGTTCTCTAATTAGCAATATTCAAGCATCCAAGACATTAGTCAAGAATGCTAAAACTGAAAACGACCACTTGCCTTTATCAAGGTCAAATACAGAATAAATTCCCCTCCAGTGGCGTCTGCAGTCGGCACAGCGTGAAGGCGGCAGCGAGTGAAAAATCCCGGCCGATTGACCAGCCGTCGGCCAATCAGCCAGTCCCGGCCGCCAATTCGCGGGCGCTAATTGGATGCTCACCTTAACCGGCCAACAAAAATGAACACGGCCGCCGGCCGTAAACGGCACCGATGACGAGAGCGGTCCCCTCTTCTCGGTAGTGCGACTTTTTACTATCACTAATCAGCTGATAAAACGAGTGTTCCTGGGCCAATTTCCAGGAGAAAGGGTGTGCCATCACGGTTGACGATCGGCTCGTGACGCCAAGGTGCCAGTGTCGCCGGCCACTGGATGAGGCCGATGACTGCAGCACTGGGGACGATCGACCGACCTCTAGGAACGGGACACTCCCGGACCGGCTTTTACGCCGGTAAGTAGCTAAGCTACGGAAAAAATCGATGCCATCTCTTCTTAGATACTTAGGCAATCTGTACTGGCTGTAACATATAAATTCGTACGATTTTGACAGACTGCTCAAGTGCGTCGGCAGCTCTGAAACCGGGCCAAAAAAGCGTGAAATTAGAGGAAACATTTCCCCAACCTTTACAATGAAGATCAGACCGAAACTAACATACTTTTCAACATATCTACCGAAAGATGAACATAATCCGATAAATTTGTTATTTTCTGATATCATAAGAATCATGCAAGAAGATAAAATGGACGTTACCCAGACAATATTTCGCTGCCATGCGGCATCTGCTTCTTTGAGCCTGGAAATTCAGAGCCCGTGACCCTTCCGCCTTCGTTCAGCTCCGGATGACGGCGAGCGCTATCCAATCCTAGACCGTGGAAGCACACCATCCAGATGGAGACTCTGGCTGCAGTCCGTGTCGGAAGCCGTTAGGAAGTCCCGTGAAATCCCTTCCCCTCAGCCAGTGAGCCGGGGAGACTGCACAGTAGGCGGTCCATCCCCACACGGTGACTGTCCCTCAGTCTCAACTCTCAGCCGTGTCCACGCCCCGGCCTCCGGGCCGCTCTTGACCCTGAGTTGTGCAGCTGACCCCGCCTGAGACCAGGGACCGGCCTTGTGGCGGGCGCCGGGACGAGCCCGCTCCCACAGTCGCAGCTGGAGCGAACACTATTACTCAGCCCGATAGAACACCGTGCTCCCAGCGTACACCACAGTGCTCGCCTATGCCCTATCATCAACCTTCGTACCAACTCGGCCTTCTCTGAGCCATGCGATAATTTCACAAACACCAAGCGCCGTCTCCCTCCCACAATATAAACACCCCGCGCGGCTACCTCTGGGAGTAAGGCCGATATTCTCCGCCACCCTTCAGCCATGAGCGGCGCTCCCATCAGCCGGGCCGGTGTCAGAACAATGGCCACGCCGGAGCATCTGCAACTGGCCCTGACCGCGGCGACCCGGCGCCAATTACCGGCTGTCTCTGGGAGGGCGCGGTGCGCAGTACGCCGCCGGTTCGCGGAACGGGCCCACCTGGCCGGCCGGGACGAGCAGCCGACGGCGCCGCACCACATCAACGCGCCGCCGCCCGGCCGCAAAGGAGACACGCCCACAGCTGCTGTGGCAGCCAGGTGGGGACACACAGCGGACGGCATCCGCGGACGACACGGACTCGGGAGCCGCCACAGCTCAGCCGCGCGGACAGGTGAGCCATCAATCGCGCCCGGCGACCGTCAGCTCTGTCCGGGAGCCACAGAGAGTCCCGGGGCTCCTCTCCGAGCCGTGTAGGGTGCAGAGCGCCGCGTCACGACCAGCCGACGCTCGCTGATGTCACTTACCTGTGCGGCTCATGCCGCCCGCGGCGGCCGGCGCTCGGCTGCAGCAGTCGCCAGGCGCCTGCGGCCACACAGAAGCCAGCCATCAGAACGTGACGTGGCCATACGGCGGTCGTGCCGGCAGCGCGGCGCGGCTTCGACGGCCACGGCACGACACGGCGGGAACGGCGCATCACAACGGCACGGCAAAGAACGACAGGGAGCGGCAGGGCACAACGACACGATGGGGAACGGCACATCACAGCGACACAGCAACGAACGACAGGGAACGACGCATCACAATGACACGGCAACGAACAATAGATATTGGTGTATCACAACGGCACGGAAACAAACTACAGTGAACGACAGGGAACGGTGAATCACAACATGACATGGCAGGGAACGGCACATCACGACAAACGGCAACAAAGAGCGACGGTAAACGGCACACCACACATGGACCGGCGCAACACTGCATGGAACGGCACGGCAGAAAACGATAGGGCACGGCGGGGAATGGCGTACTACCACGTAGAACGACACGTCAACGAGCGGAAAGGAACAGCAGGGAACGACGCAGCACAACGACACGGCAACGAGCGACAGGGGACGACAGGGAATGGCGCATTACTGCATAAAGCTGCGTGCAACGAGCGGCAGTGTACGGAACATATTGGCGCATCAATGGATGGAACAGCACGAACACGAACAATAGTAAACGGCAGGGAACAGCGCAGCACGACACGGCAAAGAACGACGGTGAACGGGTGGGAACAGCAGTGAACAACGGGGAACGGCATATCACCACATGGAAGGGCACGGCAACGAGCAATAATAAACGGCAGGGAACGGTGCATCGCGAAGACAAGGCAACGAGCGACATTGAACGGCACATAACAACGGCACAGCAACGAACGACAGTGAACGGCAAGTCACGGAGGATGCCACATAGAAAGGTACGGCAGAGAACGATGGGAAATGTCATACGGGATATTGTATAAGACAACAGGATAACAGCGATATGAAAATTGACAAGAAACCACAAGATCACGACATAAAGAGCTAGAAACGACAATTATGACAGCGAAGTGTTCATTGACAACGGCACTGAAGGAGGGACATGACATAGCACGATTGTGCGTAGGCAGTGGATAACACCACATTTAACTAACACAGTATGACAGTTAGCACAGTATGACAGAACAAAAACTGACCAAAATGCCAGACGCATTCGAGAACCGACGTAGACGACACAAACCTATTACCTACTACGACTCACTCCACTGATCATTATATTCGGTTACTGCGGCGTTTTGGAGCATCCGCAAGGCTTGTCATACCGGGAGGCCCAGGCGGGCACAATCAACATAAGACGCGACAGCCAACAGCCGGAATCCTCCCGTTGGCGGTCAGAACAGTTCTGCGCAAAAACCAAGATTTATAGCATGCATGAACGGACGTTATTCAAAACTGACCGCAACATCACACGGTGTCAGCAGACACATCAAACAGACACACCTGCGAGAGAAGTGGACATATCACAAAACGCTCGGCATTTATCGACTCAAGCCACGGGATTTGCCAGGTGATTGCAAGCACGTTGAAGAAATACAGGCGATGTGCTCCTTAGCATATCCATCTAAACTTCGGCTGATTTATGCTTATGGCACCATGCAGCCCAGATGGGTTTTATATTGTAATGGTGATTTAATATCGGAACAAACTCCGGGTAAGGACGCACACGGAGCTCCGAGAACTTGGGCCCGGTAATAAAACTCTCCTTAAGGTCATGCGTCGGCCATAGAATTCATGGCAAACGATCTGGCCGAGGAACTGTCGGCATCGTGAAAGGCATCTCTGGCACGGCTGCCGTCCCCGCTCTGCGAGGCTCCTCAAATGGTCACAGGCCCACTGCCGGCCGGGCCGGGCCGCGGCGCCGCCGGCCCGCGGCACATCCTCTTGTCCACTCCGGCAGTCACGATCTCCCACAAATACGATGCACGCCGCATTCAATACATTTGAATACACGTCAGCGGCCGACACGACTCGGGAGTCTGCCCACCGGCAGCCATCAGTTCGTGGGCGCCGGACCGTGCGCCCCCCCCCCCCCGGATGAGAGGGGCGCACCGGTCATGGTCAGCGGTGCGGTCAGGGTGACGGACGGCGGTGCGGCCTCCCTCCCACAGTGGCGAGCGGTGCACCGCGGGGACTCACACGCTTCCCACCCAGGAAAACCAGCCACTGTCCTTGCAAGGAGAACTAGAAATCGCCGGTGGCTGGAAAAAGTGACCGCGAAGAAAGCACAAGTCATGCACTGCCGGACGCAAGGGATGCACGTGCTGTTTTAGCATTTTAGATGAGACCTAACGGCTAATCAATCAAACAAAATTGAGTCACGTCGGTGACTCCTTGAGTCTTCCTCGTGGAAAAAAACAATAGCAAACAAAGACAACCTACAGAACATCGGCCGTTCTGCCTTGATACCTAAGCTAGAGGGTAAGAATTGCACAAATGGATTCAGGGGTGCATTTGAAATAGGCAACATGTAACATAAACAGAGATAAGTTTATGCTAACAATAGGCAAAGGCGACAAATTTAATCTAATAATGCAGGTGCAGCATACTGATGAACTTTAATATGAATGTGTATACTCTAATATCCAGCATCAAGTCTGAAGCATAGCTTTGTTTCTTGAAATACCTCTGTGCCAATATTAATGCTATAAAGTAAGAAAAAGATGTCAGTCGCTGCAGTCAATGATTCAGATCGATTTGCCATTTAAAATATTTTGTTACGTGTAACGAAATGCTACAATTTTAACCCTCGCCCATGTAGGGGGGGGGGTTGGTGCAACCCCCCCCCCCCCTGAGGTTTTTCGGAAATAGTGCAAAAACGGCGGCGCGCAGCGCCGCCAAATTTTGGGTACCTTATGGGGCAAACCTTGCGCATCTTTTGATAAAAAAAAATTGACCGGGTCATGTCAGGTCACGGAGTTATGACGTCACAAAGGGAACAGCCTCCGGCCGGATTTTCACAAACTGAGTGCCAACGCCCGAGGTTTCCTGCCGGTGGTACGGACATCGGTTGATGGATCGTGATGAAACTTCCCATGCATGTTGGGGCAAGTATTGGCTATCATATGGTATAAGAAACTTGACCGGGTCAGGTCAGGTCACGGAGCTATGACGTCACAAGAGGAACAGCGTCCGGTACTATTTTTGAAAAGCGCCCGAACCACTATTTTGCTAATTCTTGTCACCTCAATGGGAATATGCAGCAATATTAGCTTCTATAGGGAGCAAATGGACATCCCAAATCCAAAAATACAATCAGATTTCAAAAATTTAAATTTTGATTTTTTGAATTTCTGCCGCCGACTGTGACCTTGCCGACTTCCGGCGCTCCCAACACGCCATTTTTAGAGCTAGGGAAACGAAATACATACCAAACGATAGAGAATTGATCAAGGAACACGAAAGTGAAGGTTTCAAGTCGATATCTCCCACCGTTTTGCCGCAATCGCCGCGGAAAATTTGAAAAAGTCTATTTTTCCGAAAATTTGACCTTTGACCGGTCAAAAGTAGGTCAAATGTTGACCTAGGACCAAAAAATATACCACCAATCGCGAGATCTCGGCGAGAGCAATCCGTTGGTCTTTTCCGCTAAGCTCTACGACGCTCCGTTTTCAAACGCCAAGGGGGGGTCGCACCAACCCCCCCCCCTGCATGGGCGAAGGTGGCAGATCGCCGTTTACGGGTGAGGGTTAACACAAAGCTTTAAACTATGAGAACATTTTTGTAGCTTAAGCTAACTTTGACTACTCATAATTTTTCATGGTCCAACAATCCATCTGCAAAAAGTCACTCCACGATCTCCATGGGGCATCAGCATCACAACCAACAACAATGGCATCACAATCCTGAGAGGCATCACAACAGGAACATCCAAAAGGGGCATCACATTAGGTATCAGAGAGGACATGCCCATTGCTCATTGGCATACTTTGTAAACATGTCACTTGTTTGGGGAGCCAAAACTGTCCCATTTGGTGTGGATGTTACACACAAACTTATTTGAATCCTTTCATTTTTACCCTTCTAGTTCTTAGTTCCTATGCACTTTAGTTCTGGTTCTGTAATGTTTAAATGAAGTACAAAAAAAATATTGAAGCGAAAGTTGAAAAAATGACGTGAGCTAGTTCCACCTAGGCACACATTGCATAGTAAAAATACCAATCCAAGGCTGTTATGCAAACTGGGTTGCATATGGCCAACCTCACAATTACAATCTCTTCAAAAATGTTTCCATAACCATGGGCCATGGGGTCCAAGCTGCAAAGCATCACAATCTTACAACATCTTGTCAATGTGGGGGCACTCAGCAGGTTGTAGAAAAGCACAGATTTGTGGTACAGTGCAGATTTTGTTTGGAGCAGTGCAGGTCTGAAATCTTCACTGTGCTGAACTGCTATGTGGGTGCAGTGCTATGCAACTACTAAGAACATGATATTCATGTGAGATAGCATTTAGCAGGTCAACCAGAGAATCATTACCCTTTTATTGCATCACTGCAGTTTTCCACAACAGAAACAAGTATTTTTTGTTATGAAATCGCAAAATTTACGTATTGTTTTATATTTGGTGCATGCTGGTATGGATTTCTAGCTTGGTTAATATGAGCTGGTGCCTGGTGCACACTTGCCACTCTGGCTGCTGTGGCTCATCGACTCTACAGTCTACTGCCATGGTTTACAACCTGGCCATGGGCATGTCGTGCCATCCATCACTTAGAGGTATATAACATTATGAAGCACTCAGCAGTGAATACAGATGTCACAAATTTTTGCAAGAGCATCACACTCTTAGAGGGATGTCGTATCTGAGGGCATACCACACCCCGTTAATATTACGCACCAGGTATCTATCATTTTGCCGTTGGCATGTCCTCAAAAAGTATTGGTACCTATTGGTCATTGGTACGTAGTTCAATTGACAAAATAAGTAGGTAGGTAGGTTAGGTAATGCCCACGGCCATATCAATACTAAATTTCCAAATTCCACAGCTGAACTGATTGTAATGCCACAATGACAGTGAATGCAAGGTGAATGTGATCTCAGCCAAAAAGCTAAATTGAAATTAAAAAATAAAAGGCACAAAAACGACAAAATCAGACTATCTGACTCACCTGTCTTGGTCTGAATCTTCCTGTCAATTTGAACCTGAATCAGCTTGATGAAAGAAAGGACAAAATGAATTCCCAGTACTAAGACCAGAGAATCACGTCGAAAGTGTTGTAGGTATTAATTATTATCATTTTACATCCACCAATGCATAGCACCTCACACGTCTCTGCGCCAAATCTGTCAAACGTATTTCAAGGCCACAGCCAGGGGGGTTCGCTCCCGTGCCTTCAGCATTACGAAAAATGGCAACAGCCCGTGAGCAGCATCAGCGCTCACGCACATGTTCAAGGAAAACAACGTGTAATGGACTGCTAACGACGGCCCTTTCCACCAATCAGCGTTCGGCATCTCGAGCGCTGATTGGCTGGTAGCAAACGCGTCATATGTGGGTCTCATTTTTTGCTATCAGTGAACGCGTTATTTAATACACAGTGGCCTATGGAGAATGGCACGCGGAATTGAAGGTCGGTGTTTTATTGCTTCGTTCATGCGAATGGAGGTATTTGAGTGGCATTTGACACCATTTTCGAAATCTACAGTGAATTTCTGATCGATTCATGTATATATTTTTATGAATTTGACAGTATTAGTGCTACATAGTCGGTGTTTTATGTTGGTGTTGTTTCTCTCGACCTTTGTCTTGGACTTTGATCATATCTTTTCTCGAAAATGCTTGCCATAACCAGGTCTAAACTATATCTGTATAAAGGGAATATGTGTTGAATATGAGGAGAAAGTAGTAATGACCATTCTGCCTATTAAACTGCCAGAAGGTGTGCTTGTAAGGTGATTGAAACTGCAGTACGGGTTGCAGATGTGGGTTTGACATCAGCATTGTTGTTGTACCCCACTTGCTCTAATAAAATGGTAACATGGGGTTATGTACACACTATTGCACAGCCTGGTATCAAGCTGGTTGATATGTGGAGGATAATGAAAGCATAAAAACCTTTCTTAAGTGAATAGGAGCGTTGCGTCTTGTGACTTGTCAAGTCATTTTAAATCAAATGATTGTGATTGTAACTTTTACTTCAATTATTATTGCAAGTTTTGACCTTTTTAATCATCAAGTTTTATGTGTACCAATTTCATATCCCTGCGTAATGTCTGTGCGGCTTTGTGCAGTGCGCGTGTCTTGAAACAAACCAACCAATTTATTTTGTACCTTTTTGTACTTCATGTATGTCAAAATGTATGTCAAAGGACAAAAATGTCATGTCTATTATCATTGACACTACTACAGCTAACTGTGCCTGTATTCCTATCTTTCAGAGGCATTCAATTCAATCTGCTTTCCAGTGCAGTACCCAAGGAGGCTGCAACTGAAACTCGCACAAAGGCAATCAAGTGTCACTTCATCAGCCTGCAGCAACAGCCCATCTGTAATCAAGATATGGATGAAGTGGCATAGAAGAACAACCAGTTCAAACATGAAAAGATGTATTTTGTTTTGGACTATTTCTTAGCATAACAGAACAGCACACTTGCTGCTTTTTATGTTTGCCCTGTGTGCAGTTTTGAATAATTTTAACTATGAAATGCTTTTGCCAACTCTTCTCTTTACATAAGCTTTCTTTGTCATGCATGTGTAATTTTGAGTTTACATGCATTATGTAGGCATAGGTATTTCCCTTGGCTTCATAAAACTACTTTGCAAGCTTTTGTTATGGACATTGGTGCTTTCTCAGATGTGTCCAGTAGTTGATGAAGGGAGAAGAGGAGTAGGACAGTTGATAACTATTACCAAAAATATGTGCTTGTCTGCACTTCGGGCTGTTCCATCATATGCAACCTCTATTTACTTTGAGTTAAAAACACCTCATCTTTTGATTCTTTCCTGTGTGGCCATTGTTTCCGTGGTGCTATAAACGTCAAGTTTGCAGTTGGTATCCAAGTGAGCAAAATGTGCATTATTTCAGTCCGTCTTGAATCATTCGTCTTGAATTATATCCCTAACTGACATCCTGTTATTTGTCCTGCAATGTCTGTGCCTGTGTCCGCCCTTACCTCCGTCTCCAGCCTCCAACCAGCCCTGCTGAGCTCTGTCGCCGGCGCGGTGTGTCGCAACGTGCTGTTTCTCCACTCCAGCCGACAGCTGCTAGGAATCGTCCTGTGCCATGCGCCATGCGACACAGCCATTGTAAGCTGCAGGTCACATTCGGACTAATTGGCTCCGCATATGTGCATCCGGCCGAGTGCTAGTCGATATCAGGGACGTTGGTCGGACTGTTGTGGCGGCGTGCATTGTGCTGGTTGAAGTTGTTGTATTTCTGTTAGTAAAAAGCATTAATACATAACCATGGCCGCAGCCCAATGTTATTGTGGATTTCAGAGGGAGTGGCCAGTCAGGAGGGCCCCATGTGGGTATGGATCCAGTGTCCAGTGGGATTGGCTAAGATTTCCGGCGATTGATAAACGCTTCTATGATAGTACACCTAGTCCTATTGAGTTATGAGGGGAGGTGACGTGAGGGACCTGACCTTGTGAAAACACGATACATGCGAACGGTAAGAAACCGACAGCCATTCTTTCCGCCAAGTATCATCTTTCTGTGAAGGATTTCTTGGCACTGAGTGCTTAGAAATTGCGTTGTTTTTGGACTATGTAGAGGCTCACGAGCGACAACTTAGCTCAACAACCTTACGTACCTTAAATATGCGACTTGTACCAGAAGATCCAGCTTGATCAAAAGATTGGACATGTCAAATTTCAGCTCTTTAGCTCAAAAGAATTTTGAGCTGTCGTAAAAACCGTCAATGTGGCACCATATCGCCTCCCCGCGCGGTCGGAAGGTAAAAGTTCGCCGGCTCTAACTAAACAAATAGTCGTCGTATCGCAAATTCATTGACGGCGTTCGAAGCGTCGTTCAATTTACTTTCGAAACATATCCTAACATTAACATTTAACTGCCTAGCGCAATCTCCAACAAGCAAAAGTTCCGTGCATTCATCCTCATACAGTGTTAGCGGCCGCCGGCCGCCGGCCGCTGACCCACATTCGCGTCATCAGGGAATGCCGCAACTAATTTATTGTTTCCAACTTTTTTCCCGGAGCGTTCTACCTGGTTTATATAGCCTTGGCCACAGCTAATCGAAGGCCGAATGCTGAAGGCTGCCACCCAGCGCTGCCAGTTAGAATTTAGCGACGCTACCACTAAAATCCCAAGATTGCTGCAAAAATATCTCGAAATTGACCACCATATCCTAAAAAATCCCAAACCGAATTTAAGGTGCGTCAAGGCTTGATATTCCAATCCAAGCCTTCAATGCTCAATAACCATTCAAATGCAATTGGTTTCATCAGGTATATAGGTACATCTGTTGTCGCAAAATGCACCTTCTGCCGACACTCTCGCGATAGTCGCATGTGCACTCACTTGCGGCGTTTGCCATGTTCTAACATGTAGGGGTTGGGTTGGGGGGTCGGTTGGATCCCACTGCCGTTTGTCCCCTGATCAAGCTAGCTTCGCGGAAAAAACGAGCGTGCTGCCCGTGACGAGAGGAAGCCGATGACCCCAATTTTGAGGTCCTAGGTCATTGGTTGATCAGGTCAAGTCAATGACCCAAAAGTCGGAAAATCGGGACCTGTTAGAACGTCGTTAACCCGCACCGGGCCGGTGCTCCGAGATTCCGCGCCGGGCCGGGGGGTGTCTGAACACCCCCCTTCTAACTCGGCTCCTGGGCCACGTAGCGACACACGGTAAGTGGCAATCGAAAGAACGTCCAAAATAAGGACGAAAACACTTCGATCATTTTTTCGGTCAGGTCAAAGGTCAGGTCACCAGAGGTCACCAGAGGTAAAATGTTGACTATTTCAACATTTTGGAAACTGCCGACGGCTATCTCGGGAAACGATAGAGCTGCATCGCCGCGGAAAAGTGTAGGTATTCGATAGCCCTTTTACAGACCTTTCTGAGTATTGTTCTCAGATTTGACCTCAGGTCAACGGTTTAGCCTCCAGAGGGCAAAAACTCCAAAAAAGCCGTTTTTACGAAAAACGTTTTTTCGGCAATAACTTTTGACTCAAAAGAGCCATGACATTACTTTTATCAGCATCGTGTTCCTCTCGTCAAGACGCGTCGAATGATCTAAAATTTGACCTTGAAAGGTCAACTTGAAAATTTGACCTCAGGTCAAGGTCATGACCTGACCGGAAAAGGTCATGTTGCATATCAGTCGATCCGCAACGTCAAGACGAACACATCTAAGGCGTTTTCAGCGCTCTAGCACGCCTCTATCAGAAGTTATTAGCGGAAAACTGTTAGATTCTGTTCGTGACCTGAGATGACCTCGGGGACATAACGAGGGGTCACAGTTGCCATTTTCCGGCTCAGTGTGTCAATTTTACCTACTTCTCGATGTTTGAGAGTGTCTAGAATAGCGTTCGTGCAAAACAGACGCTTTTCAATCTTCTCCTTACCTTATAGGAGAGGCCGCAAAATTGACCTGACCTTAGGTCACCGATATCAAAATTCCGAGATATAGGTACATTTAATAGATAAGGCTGCTCTAATCCATCGCTGAAAGTTTCAAGGCAATCGATCAGTTGGTGTAGCTATGACGAGCATTCTTATTTTTTCTGAGATGATGTCACTTGGCGTGACCTGGTGACCTGACCTAAGGCGACCTGGGTCTGAAATTTTCACATGTGCGGAAAAGATGCACAAACAGGTGTGCCAATCACGGCGGCGCGGAGCGCCTCCGTTTTTGAGATATCTAGGTACGAAAAACCGCAGGGGGGGGGTGTCCAAACATCCCCCGACCCGGCGCGGGTTAAAGTGTGGCTGCCATGGGGTTTTTCGGGGTGCTGGTCACGAATATCATGTTAGTTTAGATCACAGATGATGTCTTCATGCACTTAGGCCAGGTCAGGTCAGGTCAACCAGTAGGGGTCCTGCCGGGCAGGGCTGCGGAGTCGGAGTCGGAGTCGGAGTCGGAGTCGGTCGGAGTCGACACTTGTGACCGGAGTCGGAGTCGGAGTCGGAGTCGATTTTAGAAACCCGAGCCGGAGTCGGAGTCGGAGTCACCGAAAATCTGTCGACTCCGCAGCCCTGCTAGGTCTGCGGAGTCGGAGTCGGGAGTTGGAGTCGGTCGGAGTCGACAATTCTGCCCGGAGTCGGAGTCGGAGTCGGAGCTGGTTTTTGAAAGCCGGAGTCGGAGTCGGAGTCGGAGTCGCCGAAAATCCATCGACTCCGCAGCCCTGCAGTGCCGGGTATTCGTATTACACCTTTTTGCACTCAAAATA